GCGGTCTGTGCACCTCGTTCCTTGTTCATATGCAATGGCATGCCACAGTAAATTGACCGCGACTTTGGCGCACGATGTTAGAGGTAGTACGGAGGGGAGGTCGCATGCTTCCTTGACGTCGCCTCTAGTCGATGCAAGCAGACATTTCACAAGTGAGTACTCGCTGCACAAACGCATATTGTCTGGTGGTGAACCTTGAAGTGCGACTCGAGTACATGTACATACAATTGTAGTAGAAATGCAAGGTTTCGAACTATCAACTTGATACAAAAATCACAGGCAAACCATCGCGACCGCTCAGCGACGCTGCGGCGGCCAAGTCGCGGAGATCGACCGTCGTCGGTGTTGCGCAAGGGCGCAGTCGTCTGCCGCCCATAAAGCTCGAGGTAGCCGCGGAGGCGATAGCCAAGGAGTCACCAACGTCGTCTTGCGCAACGCCGTCAACGACGACTCTTTGTCTTCGAGCGTGAGACGGTTCATGAGCGGGATCGAGATCTTGCCGATCGTCTTGGTGCACAGCAACGGCGATGCGATCTTGAGGACGATCTCGGCCATATGCGCAAGCAGTGCAATGCCGTTTGGCGTCGCTTGCTACTTAAAGAGTTCATTGCCGCTAGCTAGCGCAACTTCATATTAGTATCAACTTGGTAATACACACCACATTATGTACAGCTACGGGGTCTTGGGCGTACTGGCCAGCAACGCCGCGGCCGCCACGTCGCGCTTCTTGGAGAGATCGAGCGTCTTCGGCCCGGCAATGGCCTTTTTCAGGAACTCGGTCGTCTCCCGCTCAAAGACTTCGAGGTACCCGCGAATCTGCGGTCCAAACACCATCCGGAACTCCAAGGTACCAATGTTGTCGCCTTCATGGACGATCGGGCCCTGCTTCGTCCGCACCGCCGTCAAGCTTTTGTCGTCGCCTTCCAGTGTGAGGAGCTCGCTGAGCGGAATCGAGACCTTTCCGATCGTCTTGGGGAAAAGCAAAACCTGGGTCTTGATGAGGACTTCGAGAGTGTGCGAGAGCGGCTCAATGTTGGCAATCGTCGTCGACACAGGCATAAAACGATGCAACGCGCCGCCGGTCGCGACGGAGCTCTTGACCGGCGTGCGCTTCGTGTCGTCGACGTTGATCTCGCACCAAATGTCGTGCGAGGTCCCGAAACTTGGTACGTAGAGGACGCCCGATGTCTTGACCGGTGGTTCCGTGAGGTCGACCTTGGCAAGATCGGGCGTCGTAAAGCCAGCGCCGCCGTACGCTTGGCGGATGGTCTCGAGCCGGCGGACGACTTCGGGCGCCGTAGGCCGGCGTTCTGGGTCGTACGTGATGCACTCAAGCGCGAGTGTCTCGTACTCTTCCGACGGGCATGCATAGTCGACGTCGAACGGCTCCGCGAGCATTTTGATTGCCTCCACAGGATCTTTAAGCCGGGCAGCGACAAGGTTGTCATCGATGGGGCTATCCGCCCGCCCAGTGGTCCTCATGACGTATCCGAACGGGACATCGCGCGTCACGAGCGAGATGAGAATCTGCCCGAGGCCAAAGATGTCGATCTTGTCCGTATACGTCGTGGCGCCGTCGTCGCTCTTGTCGACGCTGTCCGGCTTTGCCAGAGTCTCGGGGGCGCCCACCGAGCTTCCATGATACCAACGGTGAGATGCTTATTATCATGTCGTCAGTGATGGGCATGGGCGTTTGTATCAAGTTCAAGTGCACACATAACCTCTAAAAAGGAGGATGCTTACCTTCTGCGCCAGTGTTTTTCGTTTGGAGAGAATCGTGGAGTTCTGTTGATGAGCATGCGCAGTCGTTTTGGATTTTGTTGTTTTTGGCCAGCGAGCCAACGGCGTCACGGGCGAAACTGTGGGCGGCAAGGTCACGCTCCGCGCTCGCCGCCCATGAAACTCTTGCGACTGTATCAACTTGATAGAATTCGAGACATGTGGTTTGGTGTGGGTGTGTGGGTGGGTGCAGTCTTATCAGGCTACGGCCGACTCCAGTATGAGAGGTGTGACCAGTGAATAGGATCCAACCTGATGTGCAATGTATCCACTGGATCAAAATAATCAAATGCAATACAGTGTATCGGGTATGGATTACTTACTACGTGTTATATACTATCAAATGCTACGCGACATATCAACGGGAGTATCAAGTATCACGTAAATATTACCTGCGCACGGCACCTCGCGCTCGGACGCATCTCCTCATTTCTCCTTTTGCACGATGGGCGGCAACTTGAGTGCGCTCATCATCAATACGCCGGTTGACGTCAACACGAACGCAACCGAGGTCGAGTTGCTCGTCCCAGAGCTCACGGCCGAGCAGCGCATCGCACAGCTTGAGACTCAGCTCAAGCACGAACGCGAGGACAAGGCTCGCTTGGTTCGCGACCATCGTGAAGCGCTCCAGCGGATTCGGGACGTCACCACCGCGGCCCATGCCAGCCTCCAACGCGCGCGCAATGGTTCTTATGCACCTGCGCCTCAGCTCTGTGCCGCATATCGACCCCGCTTCTTTCGAAAGCCTCGAGGGAGCCGGCTTGTTGCTGCAGAAAGAATTTCCGTTCGCAGTCCTTACGCCAGGCCGGCTTCAAAGCGGCGACCTCGCGCTGCGCATCCAGCTCAAGCCCGCATTCCAAAAGGACGCAAAGGTCGTCTTGCGCTTCAAGCAAACCATGGCCATTATGCAAGCGTATTTCCTTACATAGTCGAGAAGGACTAGCCCGGTCTCATATCTAATTCGTAGACTCCGAGGCGGCGGCGGCTCGCTCTTGCGCATTTTCGGTGCCAATCAACTCGAATCGAACGACCCGGTCGCGTACGTCGAGTATGTGACGGGCATGACCCTCCAGCGCTACTTGTGCTCCAAAACCGATGCATCGTGGTCCGAGAAGCTCCACATTGCGGTCCAAGTCGCCACGGCGATCGCCCACATGCACAACCTCGCCGTGATGCACCGTGACCTCTCGTGGCTGTGTGTCTACGTGGATGCAACCGGTCACGTCAAGGTATTTCCCGGTCTCAAAATGCGCGATACGGAACCAAAACCAACATATGACCAACAATGTGACGGAGGCGCGGTGGAGCGCTCCCGAAACACTTGCAACGACCGACGCCGTATCGTACGATGACAAGATCGACATCTTTGGCCTCGGGTTGCTCCTCATCGCTTTCGTCACGCGCGACCTCCCCTTTATGCATGTGTTGACGCCCAAGGGCAAGCATCTCGACGACGACTTGCTTTGCCGGTGGTTTCAAGACCCGAAGCGTGCCCAAGAGCTTGTGACGAGCGACTTTGGGGACTCTCCGTCCGACGAGTACAACAACCTCGCGCTTGCTTGCATCCAGCTGGACCCGGAACGTCGGCCCACGGCACCCGAAGTTGTCCGCCGCCTTGAAGCCATGCTGCTGTCGTACGGTGGTCCATTGTCCGTGACGAAGAGCGATGCGACGGTCCATCTTGCTGTGGCCGTGCACAACACATTCGCCATGACGTTTGAGCCCACGTTTGGCGACGCGTACGCGCTCGAGTGCGTGGTCAGCGTCGACGACGCAAGCCGCAAGCCCGTCAAGTTCTCGAACAAGAAGGAAGGAACAAAGTCGCACATTTTTGATTCAGAGACAACGTTCGACAACATTGACCCGGTCGATTGGACGCTGCAACTCATTTTCAAGACGCCTGGCTACGACATCGCCCCATTCGGGACGAGCTTTGGGGGCCGTCATGTCGGGAAGGCCACGATCCCGCTCGTTGAGTTTCTGAAAGCTGAGAACAATCCGCGCAGTCTCTCGGCGCCCCGGGAAAAGGTCTGCGACATTTATGGCTACGGCAAGGACGGCGACACGATCGGCAAAGTGGCTCTCTCGGTGGCGTTTCGGGGTCAGCTCCGAGAGCGCCTCGAGGACTACGAAGCGCATATTGCCAATGCCATTGACGTTACGGCGGACGTACACGAGAAGCGCAACGTGGTGGCGCAAGCGCTCTTGCGCGATGCGCCGTAGCAGTATCTTTCTGTGTTTCAACTTGATACGATTGGAAATTTATAGTTGATTTTTTTGGTACGAAGAATATGTTATTCATGGTTGCTAAACCAGCGCCTTTTAGTACAGGTAGATACCCCTTTGGCAACTTTTGTGGTCGCCCCATGTTCCGTTTTGGCGCCGAAGCCATCGAGTGTACGATCTTTTTATCAAGTTGATACGAATCACAGATGTGCAAACTACGGCGCACCGCTCAGCAATACCTTGACGGCCAAGTCGCGCTTCTTGCGGAGATCGACCGCCAACGACTCGTCTTCATCGGTGTTGCGCAAAAACACGGTCGTCTGCTGCTCAAAGAGCTCAAGGTACCCGCGGAGACGCTCGCCAAACGTGACGGCAATCTCCAAGGAGCCAACGATGTCACCGTCCTTGAAGATGTGTACCTTTCTCATCCGGCGCGCCGTCAAGGTCAACTCTTTGCCTCCGAGCGTAAGAAGGTTCATGAGCAGGATCGAGATCTTGCCGATCGTCTTGGTGCGCAACAAGTGCTTCGTCTTGAGGGTGAACTCGACCGTATGCGCGAGCGGCTCAATGTCCTTCAGCGTCTCGAACTGCCGGAAAACGTGCGTGACGTTGCCAGTAATGGACGGGAGCACGATCGCGTCGTGCTTCTCGTCGTCGATCTTGATTTCGCACCAAACGTCGAACGGCGACCCAAACGCACTTGGGCTCTGCACGCCGGACATCTTGAGGAGCTCGATCGTCAGGTCGACCTTGGCGTGGTCGGGCGTCTGGATGGTCCCTCCGCTGTACGCTTGGCGGATCGTCTCGAGCCGGCGGACGACTTCGGGCGCCGTCGGCCGACGCTCGGGGTCGTACCGGATGCACGCGAGTGCGAGTGTCTTGTACTCTTCAGACGGGCATGCATAGTCGACGTCGAACGGCTCCGCGAGCATTTTGATTGCCTCCACAGGATCTTTAAGCCGGGCAGCGACAAGGTTGTCATCGATGGGGCTATCCGCCCGCCCAGTGGTCCTCATGACGTGCGTGAACGGGAGGTCACGGGTGACGAGCGAGATCAGAATGAGACCAAGTCCGAAAATGTCGATCTTGTCCGTGTACGTCGTGGCGCCACTGTCGTCGCTGTCCTCGGTCTTTGCCAGAGTCTCGGGGGCGCCCCACCGAGCTTCCGTGATACCAGCGGTGAGGTACGACTCGTACGCCTGGACTTGGCGCATCTTGAGGCCGGCAAAGACCTTGACGTTGCCAGTCGCATCGACAAAGACGCGGGACCACGAGACGTCGCGGTGCATGACGGCGAGGTTGTGAATATGGACAATGGCCTTGGCGACTTGCGACGCGATCCAGAGCTTCTCGGCCCACGTCGCGTTTTGCTTGTTCATGAGGTACTCACTGAGGGGCATGCCCGTGACGTACTCGACGTACGCGATCGGGTCGTCCGAGTTGATGTTGCAGGCGCCGATGAGGCGCAGGAGCGTGCCGTCGCCGCCGTTGAGCCTACAAGACATGGAGTCAGTGCAATGAAGCTACAGTAGCAGTAGGACGTACGCTTGCATGATGGCTAGCGTCTTCTTGAAGCGCTCCAGAACGTCCTTGTTGCCTTTGAAGCCATCGACGAGCTGGATGCGCAGCACAAGCGTCCCGTCATGGATGCGGCCGGGCTTGAGCTCCGCGAACGGAAAGTCGCGCTTCTCGAAGCCGAGGGGACCTGTGATGTGCTCGAACTTGAGATCGTCGACTTCCGTGATCGAGTTGAGGCGCTGCTGCATGAGATGCGTCGCGCGCTCCTCGGCGAAGCGCTGTACGGTGGCGTCGCTGTCGGCAGCTGCCACGCCGCCCAAGCGCCGAGCTTCCGCAATTTGGGCAGCGTAGAGCTCGAGCTCGAGCTCGTGCTGGAGTGTGAGGTCCTTGACTTCGGAGGCGTGGGCAAGCGTTTCCTCCTCGTACTTGGCCTTGATCTGCTCCAGCTCGTGCTTGAGCTGCGCGATGAGCACTTGGTCCGGGTTGAGGATCGGCATGGGCTCGGGCGCAGGCTTCGCCGCCGGTAGATCCTTGAAGGAGCTCTGTTCAGCCCCCATGCTGGCAAAATGCAATGTGATGTTTGCACTTCAACGCACGTGGCAAGCTGCTGACCACTTTTTGTATGGGATTGCAGGCTGGCTTGGTTCCAGTGCATTGCACACACAGCTGGCAGACACGATCACTTCGTCAATACACTGTACGGTCGGGCGACGGCGGACTCTACGAGGCAAGAAAGATGCGTCGTTTCAGAGCTCTGCTCATGACGTTCCGCTCATCTGTTCCGCTACACAACGTGTGGATTTTCATATCAATCAGCTCGAACGAGGATCCAAACATCCAGACAATGTGTGAGGAATGTGGGGCTGCGGTGTACCAGCTGTTCCGTCTAGTACGACAAAGCGTGGTTCATTGTGAAGCTTGCGGGTGGTGTGGTGTCGCCGGGAAGCCGGCGTGCTCACATTCAAACCGGTTGTGTTCTGGCCGAGTCGGCTCAGCTCGTCGGCTCGTCGGGCTCCTGCAAACATGGCTCTGTTACGATGCGCACACTCCAGCGAAAGTGCTGACGTGATTCAAGTTGGCTTGCAATCGCGTGCAAAGAACTGGTGCATCGTGTGACAGTGGAGAAGCAACCTCCGACCTCCTGGTGCTTTTGCCGTCAATGGTTCAGCGATACCTGCCCAGCTTGGCAAGATGCTTTCATCAAGCAAGCGTTCTAGCCTCGATGTTTTGTACTGAAACCGGAAGGATGAATCGAGGGAGATAAATTATACTGGGTGATATGC